CCAGCAATCGGAGGGGTCTGGGGGTCCCCTGCCCAGGCCTGATGCCTGGGCCAGAGGCATCAGGCCTGGGCTGGGGGCAGAACCAGTGATGGGGGGAAATGAGGGTCCCCTGCCAAGGCCTGACGCCTCTATCAGAGGCATCAGGCCTGGGCAAGGGGCCGATCCTGTGATTGGAGGGTGATGGGGATCAACGCCTGAGGGCTCCCAGTATGTGAGAGGGGGCAGGCTGGGCTGAGGGACACTCCCCCCCACCACCCAGTGCATGAATTTCATGCACTGGGCCCCTAGTTGGTTAATAAATAATCTGACACATTGCTATCTGGGTTGGGCTCATATTGGAGTAGAAGTATACCGACATTTTACAACACAGAATGTACCAAAAGAAATAGTGCATTAACTGATAGGATATCTAAAAGACTGGCAAGTTGTTTTGAAAATTTTGTTTCAAAAAAATTGTCAATTAAATAAAATGTGTTTAAAATAAAATAAATAAAAACAAAATGAAGCATGAAGTCCTATTATTCTTTTCAGTTTCTCTGGTGGTTAATAAAGTAACAATATGCTTATTTTTTTATATGTTATATGTTAAATTTTTTATTGATAACTGAGGGTGAGTGGAAACACCAGCCCTACTTCTCCTTATCCAATTCCATATAATATATATATTTCCAGTGGTTACCTCTTTAATTAAACAGAAAGTCTAATTCTTGTTCTATACAGGACACCTATCTTGATTTCCTGCTTTATACAAAGAAAACAAAATAGCAGTCTCCTCTATCACTCTTTTTTTTAAAAATTTCTTTATTGGTTAAGGTATTACAAATGTGTCCTCATTTCCCATTAATTGATACTTCTCTGTCTCTGGGTCTATTTTGTTCATTAGTCTATGTTGTTCTCTATATTCCACAAATGAGTGAGATCATGTGGTATTTATCTCCTCTATCACTCTTATGCTCTTTTTTATATATTTTTAAATTTCATGGTTATGAAGTAATATTTATCCAAGTAGGATAGAATATAAAATTATGTTGGCTTGAATTATAAAAGTGAATATTTAAATACAGGAGAGAGCTTCAATTTGCTTTCTGGCCTCAGGCTCTGTAATGTTAGAGGCAACTATATATATAAAATCAAATGTATTTGGGCATATCCTATCTAATAAAGAGGGGATATGCTAATTGACCCTCACACTGTCACAAAAGATGGCAGTGCCCACAGCCAATAAGGAGGGAATATGCTAATTGACTTCCCCGTCCTTAAAGATGGTGGCACCCACAACCACAAGATGGTGGCGCTTAGTCCCCTCAGCTTCCCCAGCCACCCAGGGCTGCCCGAGGCTCAGGTAACCAGGGCTTGCTGGCAGTGGCAGCAACAGAGGTGTGATGATATATATATATATATATATTTTATTATACAAATGTTAACATATAATGCACATTATTCTGTAACTTCTTGTCTTTTAACAATATATCCTAAAGTTTTCTCATATAACATAACTAAGAGCTGCAAGCTGTTCTGTATGAATAACATATCATACCTGGCCCTCAGCAAGCATTCATTTATATTATATCATATAGTTTTGTCTTTCCTAGAATTTCATATAAATGGAATAATATAATATATTGTGTTTGCACCTGGCTTATTTCACTTTTAATAATGCTTTTAATATTTTTCAAAGTTATGCATATAAGTAGTTCATTCTTTTTTCTTTCTGAGTAGTATTCTCATTTTGTGTTTTTATCATATATTACCTCCCAATCATCACATGATATACTTTTATTTTTCTGTGCTTGACTATTAGGAATCTGCTTTGCACATTTCATAACAAGTCTTTTCATGAACATATGTTTGATTTCTTTTGGATAAATTCCCAGAAGTGGGATGGTGGCATCATAAAGTAAGTATATATTTAGCTTTATAATAAAACTAGAGGCTAGGTGCAAGAATTCGTGCATGGGTGGTGTCCGGTTGACCCGCGCTGATTGGGGTGTTTGGG